GCGGCATGAGCAAGGCCCCGCCGCCCGGGAAGATGCCCAGTGACCCCGAGGAGGCCGGGCCCGGGGACGGGTCCGCGGACCGCCGCGGGAAGCTGGACGCTCTGCTCCGGGACCCGCGCTCGCCCATCAACGTGGACAGTCTGCTGGTAGGTGCCCGGCCGGGTCCCTGCTGCCCTCCAGCCTCTAGAACGGCGTTGCGGCGCGGATCCTCCCACCCTGGGTCGGGGTCCTCTCCTGTGCTGCGAGGCAACATCGGCGCCTCCTTCCCGCCTACCCGCAGGTTTAGGGAGGAAAAGCGGAGCCCTGGCCCTGCTTCCAACGGAGCAGCCGAGGTTGCAGAGTGTCACGCTCCCTAGGCGCGAGCAGATGACCGTGGGCAGTGCCTACCCGGGTGCGCGTGAAGCTCCGCGTCCACTGTTTCCCTTTAGTAGGTGCACACCTAGCTAGTTTTGCTGTTTGCTCTTATCGCTGAGCATTCCTTCGTAGCTATTTGGTGCATCTTAACTTATGTAAATTGAATTTTCCCAAGGTTGTTGCTCCAGTCTGTATCGTAGAGTGGAAAGAATCTGCCCCCTGCATCTTATCTTTTCTAAGGACGCCCTTAGAAATCCAGATTCATAGCCACGTACAGGGTGCTTGTGACTCTTGATTAAGAGGCAAACACGTTTTGCAAAGAAATGCACTGTGCAGTTCTGCCATATTTCTTTACTTTTGCCAGTGTTGACAATTGGCTCTTCCGGACAGTTTAAGAGTGTAGGAGAGCTATAGTAATAGGAAAAGGTGTTGTGGATAGGAAAAGGTGGGAAGAAGAGAGCAGAAAGGGTCCTCTGGAAGCAAGCACTGGAAGGCTGAAGTTAGGGTGGGCGATCACACCTTCTGCTGCAGGATGCGCAAGACGCGATGTTCAGCCCTGGGTCTTTCTGGGAAAAAGCTAGTGACTTGCGCTGAGAAAAACCGCCTCTTCCCTTGCCACTGCCTGACTTATCTTCTGAGGCTGTTGGTTATCCTTTGGGGTTTCTGAAATCATTTGCACAGTGACTCAGTCCTGTCTGGCCAAAATACAGGAACTGACCGAAGAGCATATCTTTGTGTACAAAGTGTAGAACGTAGCGATGTTGTATCACTTTGTACGATGTGCCGAACTGTACCTGAATGGAGAAAATGCTGTGTTGGTCTGGTTAGGTATTTGCTTTTACTGAAGTTCCGGTTAAGGTGTTGGGAATGGGATTGGCTGCGTGAACGTCTTCATCTTTCCTAAACTAATGCAGACTAGCTTCACTCCCAGTTCACTCTCAGTATTTTCACTTTGGTATTTTGCTAGTGAAACTTTGACCTAAGGCCAGAAAGTTTAGTTAAAAATAGTACCTCAATCCTTGATGAATCTCAAGTATTCATCAGGTTTGGACTGAAACCCAGATAAAATTGTTTTGTTTCCACTTTACTTTTATCCCTTGGGTTTTATAGTGATGTTAATTACAATTATTAGGGTTATTCACATCTTGGAACTAAGCTGTTTATACTAGTGATGTGATCATACTTTTTTTTTTTTGGGGGGGGGGAACCGGGGATTGAACTCAGGCCCTTGCGCTTGCCAGGAAAGCGCTTATTCCACTGAGCCATCTCCCCAGCCCCATGTAATCATACATTTTGCTTTGATATTTTCTGAATTATTAAGATGAAGACTGAATCTTTAAACTGAAACATCACACATGCTCTATAAACAATACAGTCCATTTAGTACTTGAGGCAACAAAGAGACATCCATTAAGGTGATATCAGCGATATGAGAATTGACATGGCTGTTGCTGGCTTGACAGCACTGTTATTGCTGCTTTTAATTGCTTAAATATCATTCTGAAGGTGAATATGAGTGATTGTTGAAGTGCAGTAAGCCTTGCCAAGCTGAAAAGTGAACAGGTTTCCAGGAGAAATGTTTTGTGGAGAAACATTTCTCCTGCTTCTGTTGAAAATGGACACAAGTGAAAAAAAAAAGTTTAAAGTTATAAAAATTAGAAATATTGGAATGAATTAATTTTTTTGTGAATTTTTAATTGGTAACGTTTACATAAAAATTGGATATTGCAACTATTTCAAGTCCATTTGGGTGCATTAAGTACATTCATGTTGCTATGCAAACAATCCCTTTCCACAACTTTTCCTCTTTTGCAAACTGAAACTGCAAATTAATCTTTGAAAGAATGCTATAAAACCTTTTGTTTCCTAAAATACTGATGAAAGAATGGCTGGTATCACTTTAACAATTTGAAACGTAACCATTTAAGCTGCATTTCACAACTGCTCATTGTTTTACTGCACATCGTTTTTGTTTTGCTTTAGAAAATACGTGTTTATTAGAGAAGATTTAGGGAATATAATCTAATAGGGACACAGCACGCAGCACAGTCCTTTTCCTCAGGAGCCCAGAGAAGGATCGGAGAGCTTCACTGCCCTGAGTGACAAAGGAAAAGGATTTGCATGTGCCAGAAGTAACTGTGAAGCTATCAGTATCCCAGGCCAGAAGCCACTTGTGGAGGAAAGTCACCCAGATAACGCACTCTGAGCGCTGGACACTGGAGTGCCCTTTAAATGTATCTCTTGGTCCTTTGACATATTTTTAGTTAATTGCTTTAACTTTTCTTTTAAAAATAAAATGGTTTCATTTACAATTTTCTGGTTACATAATTTTTAGTCTTTGTCATTATCATTTCGCCATCATGAAAGTGCTAGCAGTCCCCAGGCATGAATGAAGCTGGATTTTAAGACTGTCTCAATGAGGAGACCAAATTACTTTTTTCTTTGCAGAAGCTGCTGGTTACTTTGTGTGGGAGCTTAAATTAATCAGAAGATAATGTATCTTTTTGTGTTGCAGATTGTGAGCTGCTTGATATTAAGTAAAAATAGCTTTGAGAAAGGTTTGCTTCTCTAATACTTGTTGGGGTAGGGTGGAGGGGCTCTGGAGACCCGTTTTTGCAGTGCTTGAAACCTTTGTAAGTACCTATGCTTTGTTGTCAAGACTAGATCCTCACAATGCTTGCCTATTATGGTAAAAAGAATTGTGTTTTAGCATTGTGCTGAGAAATGGCTTTCTAAGTCTGTGCTTCTGGATTTCGATTTATTTTACTTTTTCCAAGAGAAAACCAGTCATCTAGTCTGTAGGATTTAGGTAAACTATTACTTAAGACTTATGTGGATGAGTAAAGGTGATTAAACATTTATGTACCATTTTCTGTGGTTCAGTCATTACTGAGTGCTATCAGTATACCTATATATAGATCATGTATTTCATGTCACAGTACATAGTTTTTTTTCTTTCAGCTTGGTGCTACTTGTCTAATTAAAATAGAATAAAAGTTGAAAATTGTTAAAATTGTTTTATACTTTTTTTTTTTTTTTTTGGTGGTGGTGGTGCTAAGGAATCAAACCCAGGGCCTTGTGCATGCAAGGCAAGAGCTCTACTGCTGAGCTACATCCCCAGCAACCCCTATACATGTATTCCTTTTGTGAAATAAGGGTTGGACATTTATGGCATATAGACTGGTTTATTTTATATTATTATTATTATTATTATTATTTTGGTGGAACCGGGGATTGAACTCAGGCCCTTATGCTTGCCAGGGAAGTGCTTATTCCACAAGCTGTCTCCCCAACCCCTATTTTACTTATTTTAGATCGGTTTATTTTAAAGCTTACATTTTTCTCGCTCTTTTTTTTTTTCCATAATTTTGAGTGTTTCTCATTATCATTTGATTTTTACCATCATGAAAGTGCTAGCAGTCCCTAAACATAAATGAGGCTTATAGCATTCTCTCTTGGTGTAGATAGTAACAGCTTTTACTCCAGAAACATTCAGTAGTTTAGGAAACAGAAGTTTTTATAGCATTCTTTCAAAGCTGGATTTGAACTCACCGTGTAGTCCAGGCTGGCCTTGAACTTGCCACAATCCTCTTGCTTCAGCCACCCTTCCGAATGCTGGGGATTACAGGTGTGCACCACCACACCTGGCCTAAAGGTTGCATTTTGATAGAAAATTTTGAAAATGATATATAAAGTTTACTATTTAGGTAATGTTGAATTTTTTGCAGGTCCACAGCTCCTTATTCACAAATCTGATATAGGAAAAGCTCTGAAAACCAAGTTTTTGCTAAGATTTACTTGTTGACCTGATCTGATGTTACAGTGTTTAGTTCATTCATCTCTCTTGGTGCAGGTGGTAATAGCTTTCACTCCAGAAATGTTCATGTGCTTGATTTCAAGATAATACTCCAGATTTCCAAAAGGCCTTTTGGAAACATACAGTATAAGCACTATGTTACTTTTCTAAAACAAACAAGGAAGTGAGCAAGTGCACAAACTCCAGTTTAAAACATCTTGGTTTTGCAGCCATTATAGGCTAATAAAGGAAACGTGGATTGGTAGACTTCTGAATAGTTGTAAAGAATAGCGGATAACTGTCTTGAGACACATTTGGTTACTTTCTCCATGCTGGAACAACATATCCAACACTCAGAAGTTGAAAGAAGAAAGGGTTTATTATAGCTCACAGTTTATGGAGGTTTCGGTGTATACTGGCTGCTTCCAAGATGGCATTGCAGAGGAGTATCACAGAGGAGAAACAGTCCATGGAATGGTAGGTTGTGCCTGCAGCCCAGGCTGCAAGAGATCTTCCTTTCTCTCCATCCCATCCAGGCTTTAAGCCTTTTGGGCGGTGTCATCCACACCCAGGGTGGAGCTTCCCATTATTTATCCACACCCAGAACTATGCCAAACCAGTCAATGCATTGATTTGGTTCCCACACCTTTAATCCGCAAACCCTAGATGGAGCTGCCTCTGAGAAGCCCCTCATATGAGCCCATAAGGCTTTGGGGGGGTGGGGGGGACATACAGACAAGCCATAACAAGACCTGAGTTTGTTTTTGCTGAAGCATAGTCAGACAGAACTCTTTCCTCATTTTGAGTTCTGAGAAAAAAAAATATAGCATTCAAGTTCAGTGTTGAAGCATGAAGGCCATTAATGAAGTTGCACAGTAGATACAACACTGACTTACTAAAATTACCTACATGCTGCTGTTTGGTTCAGTCTGGTATCCACTTAACTGCTTCCTTGCAAGTTTAATACTATTCTTTTGCTTCATTTCACAATTTATA